CGTCCCGGGTTATATAATTAACCTAGGCCTGGATGGAAACTGGCTCTTCAGACACACACACTGAGTACATTGCCCAGCTGTAGACGGACATAACATATGTGCACGTATGAGCACTTACCACATGTGCACAAATATCATATATAACATGTGCAGTGATGTCAATAAGAATAAGACTTGCCCCACATTCAAATACAGCAGTAAGATCTCCCTCACTTCCAAACACAAGACCTTTGTCAGGTCAGTTTCCAGGGTTCAGTCAACAGCAGATGAAGATGTAAATTAGTTCATAAAAAACACACAACCATAATGGGACACACACAGCCACATACTCAAAGAGTTCTATATATAGTCATCCACATCCACCATCTGCCAAATTGAGTTACACAAAGAATTTAACACATGGCCTAATGGACGCTGCATCCACCTAATAAATTATGGCCAAAAGCCTCTGCCAAATGGTAGATATTAGTGTTTGTGTGTGTCAGAGAGCTGTCGTGAAAGGAACGAGGGGAAGCAGAGGGAAAAAGGTGAGAGAGGGCTAAGGGCTGTCCCCAGGTTATCAGCCATCTTAAATCAGGAAGTATTTAGAGCACTGCACATTTGACTGTGTGTGTTTGTGTTTATGTGTCTGTTTAAAAAGGGAATTAGTCAAGGAGTTCCCTGAATGTAACAAGTTAGAGGGGCCAGGCTGACGCATTAGCACACTTAACCCAGCCATGCAACTGGGACACAGCTCTCTGATCGAAACCTACCCTGCCATCTGTTAACAGACAACGTATCTGTATCACAGCTACTTTATTTAAGTGTAACGGATGCACAAGTTATTTAAGTTAATTGGGACAGACACATTCCAAGACAGTGAATAAAACTGCAATCAGCAATGCAGAGAATAATTTTACAATACTTGGGGAATCCCCGTTACAGTGATATTTTAGGTAGTTTGTTTGCAAAAACTGAGTCTAAAATATAACTAAAAATCTTTGCACAGGGATGAATATGTGTAACTGAAGCCACAAAATGGAATATGGAAAAGACCATTTTTCATGAGGTGATGGTGAGGAGATGGTATCCGTGTCTGGTTAATAATAGAAACATCACACCGGAACCCTGGTATTAGAGAGGCTTAAAAGTCTATGCAGTTGGAATCTCAATCGCTTCTGAAGTAGATTCAACTTTCTTTTGTTTCACTTCTATTATGATCAAAGCTCCTGCTCAGGAAGTAACATTGAAATTGTTTGCGTGAACACAAGCATTAGGTTCATATTTGCAGAAACCTGCAACGGTTGAGATGTTCTGCTATTTTATACAGAGTAGTTTATATTGGCACTGCATAATTTTCCTGCTGTGTTAGCCCCTAACAGAACCAGTTAATACTCAAGAAGCACTTTTGACTACTTGACATCCATGTTATAATATTCCTGCAGGCATGTGAGGACATAGCCAGAATGTAACTTACGGCTTAGTCTAATCTTGGCATAAATGGATTGATGTTTCATTGGAGGTGATGAAGGTAGGTGCAGGGCAACCTGTAAAAGCCTGTTAATTTGGGGATGGAAGTTAGGTAACTGGCCTTTGCAGAGGGATGCCTGCAGAGTGAAAATACCAAATTATCCCAAAATGACTATGTTACATCACAGACTGCTGCACTGGGCTGTGCGGCACTGTGATTTGTGTGTGACGGTCTCATTTAGACCAGATTAGGAGGTCAAAGGTTTGGTTTGCCCAGCTACACATACCCTGCCAAGGGCTCTTCGGGGCCAGGTTTGCCCAAACATGGTCAAAAACACTAAGGACACACACACACACACACACACACACACACATTATTATAGTTGATCTATGTGAAGAGTTTGAGAAGCCTCTGAATTTTGAAATAGATTCAGTTTTCCTCAGATAAACTCAATCAATTTGGACTTCACCATCTGCACTGACTACTGCAAAAATGGCACCATAGGTACCTGAAACAGTGCCTAAAGGGGTTTAAAATGGTCCAAATGAACAGATACTCAATAAAACAAACTCCATTTTGGAGAAGTATTGTCATATCTGAAATGCTAGCTACTGTAAAGACGCAGCCCTCCACCCATTCCTCCCACCCACACGGTGGAATGAGGAATTACCCAGCAAGAGACAAAGAGAAAATTTGTAATAAATAGAAGCTTGAGAGTTTCAGACAAGGATATCTGGGCAGAAGGAAGACAGGGGAGGGAAGTAAGGGTTGCTCAAAAATATGGGATTTCTCCCATTGCCCAAATAAGTACCTATTAAAAGAGAATTTCTGTGCCCCGCTGAGCTGCCGATAAGGCAGCCAGGAGAAAGGAGCTGTGGAAATAGAACATGTCCATATAGAGAGGGAAACTGTGGAGAGAGGGAGCAGGAAGGGGGCAGGGGTTAAATGCTTCCCCAGACTGTGCACTTTCCACTGGTGTAAACCCAGTGAATAGAGTCCCCGAGTCCCTGCTGACTGACACAGCCTGAGGGGCTACTGTGAGCGTGATTGAGCATAGTCAGGTGAAAAATTGCCCAAGAAATTACATGGGGTGTGAATGTCACAATTTGATTCTGATTCAGAGGGCTACGATGCGATCAAAGTAATTTTTGATTTATATACATGATTTATTTTTTCCTCATTGTGGTTCATCTTCCTACTATTAAAAACAGTATTTGTAACAATCCATAATTAAAATAAACAGAAAGAATTTATTTCCATTTTCTTTTAGTTTTACAATTTGCATTAGAGGTATAAATGCATTTATACATTTACAATACATTTTTTTAAACTTAACATTCAACACTGTTACTTTAAGAGTTAAGGTACTCAAGTACTGGCATAATGACAATAAGATTTTTTTCTTTTAAATGGTAATGCTCCATCAAAAGACTGACCTGTTGATAATTCCTGAACTGCAGCTTGTGCTCATTTATACAGGGCACAACAGACAGACTAAACTGCACACTGTACTCTATACACTCTACAACACTCTATGGCATATTAATTAGGCATGGTCCGAATCTGCAGTGGGAGGCTGCCTGAACGCTGTGGGGGAAATTAACTTCCACTATGTTTTTGTCTCTTTCCGCTAATTGGCACATTCAGCTGATGCCGTCGTAAATGGAATGTTTGTTTGAAGTGAATCACTGCTGACTTGATTTTGCACGGGGGATCTGCAATCTCAGGTTTATTAGTAGCCATCCTGTGGGCTCCACCTGTTTACATAATGACAGCTCAACAGTGGTCGTGGTGGCAGTGGGTTTGGGTAGGGTGGGGAGCGATTATAGACTTTTCTGCATCGAGACACAATCTTTCAAGAGAGAATCGTGATGCATCCAAGAATCAATTTTACCCCCACTCAAATAATAATAATACTCAAATACAGCTTCTAAAATCAGTTCCTCGTTCATGTGCCATGTTTACCAGTGTTTGAAAACACCAATGAGACTGGCTTTATAATTTCACTCAGCATTAGTCTTCAGTCATCGTCCAGGCAGTGAGTTTCTGACTAGTAGACTGACAGAGAGAAGACAGAAAGGGGAAAACCTGCCTTGACAAACACCTCACAGATGTTGCTCCTCTCTGACACCACTGGTCTCCATAGCAACCCTGCTGGCCAGTAATAGCCTCTAGCTCGCCTGGCTGCAGCGGCAACATGAAGATGCACACACACATACACGATGCACACACAAACAGGCACATTTGAGCCCCTGAATAGGATCTCACTGCGTATTAATAGAGGCAGAGGGACTCAGTAGCCCACCCAGTTAAACCACCCCCTCAAGACTTACCAGAGAGAACACACACCACATCTACCCCCATCATTAAAGGCCCTGGCCCCACACACACACACACACACACACACACACACAGATCCACCAAGGCCCTTGATTCTAGTAAACAAGCCCTGTAATTGGCGATAACAGATAGCTGGGAATTATACATTAGAGCTGGCTTGTGTTGTTGCTTTCCTGGTACGTGCAGAAAAGCACTGGCTGAATTGTCTGCTTAATATTAAGCTGTATGCTCCTTTCAACATGACGAAATTGAGCTTTACTCTACATTTTGCGAGGCACCATCTTGAATACAGAAGATAGCTCCCTGTAACCAATGCTAGTGTGTTTCCACATTCAGATTCTACAGAACATAGTTTAACACAATGACACACCCTGTTAAAGTAATTATACATGACTACAAAGTTGACTATTTCCCCCCAAAATGAGATAGATCAGTGTTTGATAATTTCTTATCTTTGTGAGAGCTACCTCCGTGGGTGAAGCAGGTAACCGCTGTGTCCTATACTTTTAGCTGAGTTAAGACTAAATGTAACCACCCTATAACAAGATCAAATAAATCCTAGTCTAGCATAAAAAAAAGGTTTAAGTAAAGTGTCGAGCGATGTTTCTTTTAAATTTGTGTTAACCTTTAAAGGCACGCACTGTGTAACTTGCATTTGTTCAAACTAGGAAAACAACAATCATTCACACTGAACTGAATTGACACAAGTAATATAGCTATTTATACCATAATTGTTTATGTCAAACCTGCCTTCAAAGAGGCATCCAAACCTATCCAGATTTTTAAAGGGAGAGTTAGTGATAAAATGAAATATTACCTTTTTTTTAAACAATTAATTCTTTTGAAATTCCAATCTATGATATTATTTCACTTTGTATAATGTGTTTATATGTTGCATTCATTCAGTTAAGTATTAATCACATTGATTTCTGACACTTAATAATAATGACCTCAGGTATTGTCTGTTTGACTTTCCCGTCTGCTAACATACCAATATTCATTATACTCAGAGGTATGTATACTGTATGCCATCAACGCTGCCAACATCACACAATGTTTTTTCATGTCCAGAAATGATGCTCTGTTTTATAAAGGTGACAGCACTTTGCAGTTCAAGCCAGGCAGTGAGCTGATGATTGCATAAAGGATTGAAAAACACTGAAAGTCGCTGTACTGTATATGTGGGAGGTGAATTGGAGTCTGTACTTACCAGGTGACAGACAGAGTGACAGAAAACTGAGGGGAGGGGAAACACCAGAGGACAGCACTGGACCACTCTAAAAAGAGATTAATAGAGACAGAAGGAGAGGTGGGAGACAAGACAGAAAGTGAGAAATTAGTGAAGTGCAATTTGCAGATATCCAACGTGCTGCCAACTTCATTATTCAGCTTCATCTACACTTAAACTAATATTACAGATGCTTGTGATGCCTTCAGGGGGGACACTGACTGTCGAACACACACACACACACACACACACACACACACGGGTGTAATCACAACCCCCCCCTCCCCCTCCAATCCTGTTTGGATTGTGCAGAATTTTAATCATTCCTCTGGCTTCTGCTTAATAAACCTTTAATGGGAAGCTGCTTCCCTTAAGAAACACTGTTTTCGTCAGAGAGAGGGGTGTAAATGAGCTGGCAAATAAGACAAACGGCACCACCTCCGCATCTGCTCTGCCGTAGCTTTTGAGTGGTATGTAATGTCAGTGAGGATAACGGAGTCTACTAATGTAAATGTAAAGTACAGACTGAGTCAAAGGGACAGACAGAGAGAGGGAGTCAAAGACGAACAAAGCTATAGATGGAAAGGAAGATTATCCTCCACATGGCAAGCCATTTTATAACTTTGTCTGCACCGAAGACAAGACAAATTCTTCTACATTTCCTGTACTTAGCTGTGACTGTGATTCTGCTTGTGCCTCTCCTCACCTCATCATCACAGCTTTATCTTGCTTTGCCCACTGCAGGACAGGAACTCTGGTGTTAATGGTTTCTTTACACAAGAACTGTGCAAGATAAACTTTGCCAGATAACCGTAGACAGGGCAGGATAGATTTAACAACTAAGTCAGGAAAAGTTGCTGTTCTGCAGATTATATTTACATCTTGGATTATCGTAGTTTATTAATGTTGAATGTTGATTTTTGTAAGCTCAGTAAAATCAAATGTATCCTGTCAGTAGACCTTTTGTTCCGTTTTTCAGAAGGTTTATCATATAGTACATCTTTTTAGGTACATTTAAGAGGAATAAACAAAAGTGACTCATCCCCAAAGTTTATACAAGGACTTCAATATTGTAACATTTACCAAATGACTGAATACATATTCTAAATTCAATATAATTTAAGTTTTATGTCAGGTCTTTTTTCAGGGCATTTTGAACATGCAAACACAGAATGAACCACAGTTTTGAATGCATTTTGCAACAATTACAGCTATCTAACTGCTTAATAATGCATGCTAAAAATGCATGCTGAAATATGTTCATTTCCATTGTTTAGTCATTTTCATTTGTTCTCTGCCCATTACTTCCTGTTTGGCCATTTCCACAGGGACCATCTTTAGTGATGCTCAAGAAGGTTTCAAAGCACTGTCCTTTTGCAAAATATGACCCAACGTAGTACCACGTTAAAGGATGATTTCTGTATTTTTAAACATCGGCCCAGTTTTCACATATTTTGGTGTTGAAATGACTAGTAGGTACAAAAATCCGTACAGAAGATGGCTTCAGCTGGCAATCGTGAGCCTGGGGCAATTGCGGCCTTCAAAATTACGTTCACAAAAAATGCTTATTTTTGCCACCGACAGACTCAAACTGTTACACAAGTTGTAAAGGATCTAGGACCTAGTGACTCGCGGTAACACCTTTTGTTTTTAATACAAAAGCTAATATTTCAGTTAGTAGCAGTTAGTGTTTTTTATAGCCATCTGTCCATCTAGACACCAAAACATGATCCAGTTTCACCGAAATCAGTGAATTAAGCATATCTGGTATATAGCGCCAGAAACACTCAGCTCCGATGGCATCTACCATTTTTCCAACCTAATTCTTCTCTCATTTGTGGTCTGATAATCAATAAATTAAAATTCAGTGCCCAATTTCACCAATTTCCAAGGAAAGTTACTGTAGGTGTCATATGGCGTTGAGCACAATGGCACACAAGTCCCTCGGACAGCTGGGAAAAATTATCCAGGTTGAAAAGTATCAAACTTAAAGGCTTAATAGGCTCTCTTTGGGGGTTTGAATAGATACTGTGTGTATAATCATCTAACATTGGTAAACAAACTGTGCCTCTCAGCCATCATGAATTATTAATACGAAGGGCTGCAAGATACCTCACCAAGTTGTATACCAGGAATATAAGGGAATTTTAGCTGCATCCAACCACATAAAAAAGGTACCACAAGGGTTTGTTTTGAGATATAATACAGTATATTATTTTGGATCACAGACTTGACTGAAAATTATTTATTTCAACAGGGAATTTAAAACAATTTGTAATCAGGACAGGAACTGATTTTAGGAGTCAATATTTCTTCAACAGTTAATCAAGCATTGACCCACTCAACATTGATCGCGCTCCATCCATCATGTCTTTGAAGTCATACGCCTCCTATTTATCCATCGGTCTCTCCTCTCTTCTTCATGTAGATGGGTTTCTCCCCACATTGGCAGCTTATGTGGATCAAATGTTCTACACGTCAAGTGGTCTCACTGGCAGAGAGCTGTTCACAGGCCTCTTCAGCCAGGGAAGAGGATCAGTGGGTAGTAGGTGCACCAGAAAAGGGAAAACCATGTGATGTATACAGTGACCAGTATTTTGGTAAGAAGAGAGACAGGTAAAGAGCTACAGTAAATAGATAACAGACAGATCAGAAGATAAAATCATTAATTCTGTGGTAACAGATTTGAACTAAAAATTTAACTAGGACTTATACGTGACAAGTGATAAAAAAATTTTTTTAATTCTCTAACATATAGCAATCTATGTAGCACTGTTGCAGAGCCTGTCCTAAACGCATCAATTAAGACTGTAACAGAAATTAGTGAAGTTCAACACGAGCGAATTGTTTTATTTAAACACGGTTTTAAACTTTCGCCAGGCACAAGACTGAACTAGTCTTGTAAGAGACAGAAATTTAAGATGCAGTTTTTTGAAGTTGACATCAAGGTAGGTTCTTGAGATCCTGCTGAGTGGAAATATGGTTATAGTTATACAATATCATTATTCCCAATTCTATTTATCGATTTTTAAAAGTAATTCTTCACTTTCAATATAGAAGAACTAGCAAACTAGAACGCATAGGCGCTACCATGGAAACTCCCAGCAAGCACCACTAGCAGTAGAGTCCAGTGATGGATACACAATATCAAACAAAGGATGGATGTACTTTGCTACCTGATAGGCTCTCTCCCTCTACCCTTTCAGAGAGTGTGTGTGTGTGTGTGTGTGTGTGTGTGTGTGTGTGTGTGTGTGTGTGTGTGTGTGTGTGTGTGTGTGTGTGTGTGTGTGTGTGTGTGTGTGTGTGTGTATTTTTAGAGGGTAACATCCAGCCGTGTAGTAATAATTCCTTTGATTAGGACAACAGTTAAGAGGTAATCTCACCCCTGCCTGCCAGCGGATTTAAATAGAGTAAACAGTGGCAGCTCTACCATCATCACTCAACCAGTGACAGCTCTACAGGAGAACCACACAGGGGTGCTGATTAAAAGGACAGCACTGTTAACACAGCCAACCACACACAATCCGAAAGGTATCACAAGATGGGATATGGCAGGGGAAGTGACATTATCCATGTTACCTGGAATAGTCTAATCTAAAAATAACACACATGCGCACACACATACAGGACAAATATGATTATAAAACGTAAAGGTTATAATACGGTTATAAAATGTCTGATTATAAGAGAGTGACATTACTTGTAATGCCTAGAATAGTGAAATTTAAAAATAAACATGCATATTATCTTTGCGTGTAAAAATAACACAATGGCTGGAAGGGTCACAGCCACCATAGTGTCTCCTATAAGTTAGTTTAGATGTGAAGAGAGTGACTAGGTAGATCAAGAGCTACAAACATATGTTCCTGCCTCAGGAAATGGACCCTATCGGTAGCCTGACACGTATGTCTCTGTGGGACTCACAGTTGGCTGCTTTGCTGCCATGAACAGCACCTGCCAGGTTATTGGGATGATAACGCTCATGTTAGCTATCTTTCCCTTCTATATTGCTTTTTTTTTTATCCTTTATTTATTCAGGGGAGCTTCAATGAGAGGAAGGCCCAATCCCAATGTCCCCCCTAAGCCCTAAGCCCTGAACCCTCACAGACTTTACTGACGTCACTTGGAAAGTGATTGAGTGCAAGAGGCTGCAAGGGCTCACAATGCTGCAAACAGGAATGGGACAGCCCTTTACCACATTATCACGTTACCTTCACGACAATGAAACACGTTGCACACTTTTTATTTTGTTTTTGCCTAATTTTTAAGTCTTGCAGGCTCTTGCCCTACAGAGTGGAGGAGAGGTAAATGTCAGTCTACATTTGTCAATAATCAGTGCACTATTGGTCAAAAAAGCATCATTAAGCAAAAAATAAAATAAATAGTTGAATAAACTAAGTGTGTAATAAGGTGATTGCATTCATCTGACTTTATGTGTTCTATGTATCATCTTAAAACAATTTTAGCATCAGCGTTGGTTTCCATGCTTGTTTGTTTACAGTTCTTCTTTTACAGGTGAAGATTTACAGGTGAAACTCGAAAAATTTGCATATCGTGCAAAAGTTCATTTATTTCTGTAATTCAACTTAAAGGTGAAACTAATATATTATATAGACTCATTACATGCAAAGTGAGATATTTCAAGCCTTTATTTGATATAATTTCGATGATTATCGCGTACAGCGTATGAAAACCCCAAATTCAAAATCTAATCTAACTAATATATTAGTTTCACCGTTGAATCACAAGTTGAATTACTGAGACACTTTAAGACAACAGTGGGACAGCCCTAAGCCCTCACACACTTCCCGGGAACGCACCTCAAAGTCTGTGAGTGTGGACATTGGGATTGGGCCTGATCACAGTCACACCCGCCTTGCACAACCACAACCCGATCTGCTGGCCACTAAGCCGCTCCACTGGAGCTGTTGGGGTTATGGGCCTTGCTCAAGGGCACCTCAGTGGTGGTAAATGAGTTTACTTTCCACTTATCCTGCCTGTCCGGGGATTAAACCGGCGACCTCCCCGTCACAAGCTCGCTTCTCTAACCTTCGGGCCACCATTGAGAGTCACTGCAAGGGGGGCATCAAACAACATCAAGTCTCTGACCAATGGAGGGATCTGAGAAAACCCCACCCCTGTTTATCATGCAGCTGTGTCCCATAAGGCAGCAGGATTTCTGAGAGGGTCGATGTTGGGTCACCAGATTGGAAAGTGCTGAAGCAGAGAGACCTAAAAATAGGGAAGTTTATTCTAACACTATATCTTCATTTCAAAGCCTGATTCTGTCATGGGAATCCAGACAAACACTAAAGAATGACTGGACTGCAGATGAAATTGGATGTTTCATAGTAAAGCAGAACTTGGATTATAAGATTGATACCACTCTCACCTCTCTATTGTGAATACAAAGCAACCACCAGCAGCTAGTTGTCACCTAGAACAAAGACTGAAAACAGGGGGGAAACAGCTAGTCTTGCTCTATCCAAAAGGTACCAAAATCTGCCTCCTAAAACCTCTAAAGCTCACTATTTAACAAATTCTATCTTGTTAGATTGATCCGCAGACAAACCAAAGTGTAGTTGTGGTTTAAAGGTGGGGTATGTATTGTCTTGAAGTCACTGTAAGGTTGCCAGGCAGGAAGTTATAGAGCCCTTCTTTCCAGTCTTTGTGCTAAGCTAACTTAAAATTTTATATGTCTGTCACAGTTCTGTGAGATTCTGTATCTGTCCTCTGTTGTGGTTAAGGATATCAACTTTTTTCCACGCCAACTTTGCTTACATTTAAAAAAATTTAAATAAATAAATGGGTGAAATAAATAAATATACTTTGGGCCACTACTTTTGAACACATGTTGCATAATCTGCAGCTGGTTCCATTACCTGCTGTGAACTTCTAACATTTATGAAAGGTCTGTCAAAATTCACTTAAACACTATTCTGGGATGACTGACTTGAATTGTTATTAGTTAGACAAGGTTTTTATGGTTGTCTGATTTATGTTTCCCTTATGCATTTATATGTTCTTATGCATTATATTTCACTTTGTTGTATTGTATTGCATTTTATAGTGAAGCACTTTGCAATTTTTATCTGTGAAAGGTGCTATATAAATAAAACTTTACTTACTTATTCTCTGTACAATTTTTTTACCATGTGAATCCTGCCTGGTGAAGAAATATTTTTTAATACTTACTTTTTACTTAATAATCATTTGTTTTGCTTTTGCCGTTTCTAAATACGTTATATGCAAGTGGCTCTAATGAAATATGTGATTTATGTACTTTAAGTACAAATACATAAAAATAAAAAACAGACCAAACAACCAAGGGGCTCGTTTATAAAACTGACTTATGATCAATTTTGACTAAGTATAACTTACACAGAAAACCACATATAAGTAGTTTGGCTTTGTCAGTCAACCAACTGTTTAGGCCACTGAATAATACGTACTGGCTGCCTTCATTCTTTTCTTTTCTCTGTTGGTCCATGGCTACTCGCCTAAACCCTCATTTGTGTTAATTTGAGATTTATAAATAGTTTGTTCTTTGATTATTTCGTTTCAGAACTGAATCAGAAAAAACAAAGCCGCTTTTTCAAAATATTGATTTTGATATTTAATGTTAATTTTGATATTTAATGTGTCAGATTAGTGTAGCTTTGTGTGTTACACTTGATAAACCTGCAGCAGATACACTTAGACGATGGCGGTGCCTGATTAAATGTAATTAAGATGAGCCTGAACATCAACATAGGTGGGTTTTGAGTTAGAAAAAAACGTTCAGTTTCTCACTAGCAACTGGGACGTTGCCTGAGAATCCTCCGTTTTTTAAGATTTCTTCAGTATCAAATTAATTCAGTGATAGTTGTGATTTTCTTAGTGAGATGGAAGAATTTAGAAAGTTTCATGGCGCTGCGGAGAGCCTCCAGCTGTAGTAGGCACATGGATTAGGCTATGTATAAAACAGGAGCATCGAACTTCATCCAGCCAGGGGGAACGAACATTGACTGTCCAGTGCGCCGGTTCCACTGGAAACTCAAGCAGGAGCAGGGCGCTGGAGTGTAGTTACAGGGCGAGGGAGAGGAGGTCGTGGGAGCGACCTGGTGCGCTGCGGACGGTCGGCGATCATTCTCTCTGGTTGGATGAAGCCTGACGCAGATGTACAGCAGTTAGTTTGACATCCAATACGGATAAAACACCGGTCATAGATAGAACAAAACGCAGCTGCTTTGTTTTTCCGTTTTGGTTTTAAAACCATATAACCAAAGAACGAACCATACACGGATTTTTATAAATCACAGGTGTGTACGTTACAAATGGACTTCTTAGAACCAGCATAAGCAAAAAGTTTTAATGCTCAGTATCTTTTATGGCTCAAGCTTAAGCGCACAGTCGAAAATGATTTTAAGATTAGGGCTGAACAATTCTGGACTAATCTAAAAAATCTAATTGCGATTTAATATTATTTAATATGAGATTATTTTTTTAAGCTCTTTATCTTCTGCATTATTTAAAACAGACAAGCAATAAAACAGTGTATAGTATGACCAACATAATATTAGATTCTTAGATTAGATAAATAAGATTCTTTCTTTCCTATATTATGATGAAATTAGATGATGCTTGAATTGCATGAATTATTAAATGGTGGAGAAGTAGTCTCAAATTATAATAATTTTACAGAAAGAAAATTTAACTCAAGTCATGGCATTAAATATATAATATCAGGTAGGCCTACCTACAGATGACAACACACACAAACTTCACCTACAGTGTGTTATACAGTAGCAAATCAAATCTCCACTAGAGTCCATCTCTCAACCAAACCCTTCTTTTCTGTATCCCTGCAAACAAACAAAAAACATACTCAGTTTGAGGTTCAATACAAAAGTTAGCAAACAAAAATAAAACCAAGTGACGCCTCTTGCGTCTAATAGACCAGTTTAGTAATCCTCCGGATCCCCCCTCCCCCCGCAGCCGCCCAGTGCTGCTGGTAAGCAGCGCTCTGGCTTTAACAGACTGGACCTCTTCTGGACTGATCAGTTTGGTTTGAAACGGCCATTTCACAGATATCCCCTGAGCTGACTGGTGGATGTGTTATGCAGGCGCGTGCCTGTACACTAACCCTAATGCACGTGTCTGTCTTTCTGTTGAGCTCTTCCCTGTCTGCCAAAGTTGCAGATGACCTGACAATTTCACCTACCACTGCCAACAATTTACATTTGGTGGGTAGTAATTTTATTCCCTGTTTGACACTAAAATTTGTGCAGTGTCAGGTTCTGTCAAGCCTGAGGCTACAACAGCGTGCCAAGTTGATGCTTCCTCTCTGCAGACTGCTTTACTCTCGCGTGTCATGTGACCACAGCCTTTGCAAATAGAAAATCTTGTTTTATCATATCGCGATAAAATCGCAAATGCAATTAATCGTTCAGCCCTACTTAAGATTAAGTTCAAAAATATATCTAAGAATATTTTTATAGATGAGGCCCCAGCACTGGTTTGAATGGAATGAATGACTTAAAACCCTCTTTCTTCCAGTCTTCTCAGGAGAACGTGGGTGAAATTGGAGAGGGAGGTAAAGACAAAAGCAGAGGCGTCCTGAGAGAAGCAGAGAATGATGGAGGAGGAGAGAAAGGCAGTCAGATAAAGACGAAGATGCACTCGCACCAAAACATTTCACATACACTTTGACTTTACAATTTTTTCTCATCTCTGTGATGCCGTCAGGAGCCAGCTCCCTGAGGGCCAAACTGAGAGAGTAAAATCCAAGCAGAGAGAAAAGGTGAGAGGGAGAGCTTTTCTACTTAGTGAATCAGAGAGAGAACACAGAGAAAACACTCCTTTTGCCTTGGAGAATGACGGATGACTGTCTTTAACAAGGACAAAAATGGGTCTCACCCCCCCACACACACACACACAGAGAGCACATCTCCCTTTCAAGCAATGTGCTGGCTAATTAGTGGATTACATTAGCAGTGATGGAGTCCAGGGCCTCTGTCACAGGGACATGTTCTTTACTACCATTGATAGAAAACCACTCAACCTCAGCTAGTAATGACAGCTATTTTACAGAATAATTTGTGCTGGTATGACATAGAATACTGTAAAGATGAGGCCCCTGCATACAGCTGCAAATGTATCCCATTTCAGACATGTAATGTGTAAAATCTTTCTGTTTAAGTAGTCACAAATATTTCATTATGACTTTACTCAAACATGGCATGCTCACTACAGATGCAGCTGTAATTTACACATGATTTGACATCTGGTACATGAGAGGGAGTGTGGCCCTGCTCGAGAACAGCGGAGAGATGGAAAACGATACAGAGAAAGAAAAGTGTTTGTCTCATTTGTATTTGCTCATATGCTAATACTTTATAAACCCAAACCCGTTTTTTTAAACTATTTATAGTCAGCATTTTCCCAGCAATAGCTATTGAATGTTTTGTTCCATTTTGTACGAGTGACGAGCTATAGTTAACATGGCTAAGTTAACGTTCAAGTTAGCGGGGTTTTAAAAACGACGGTTCACGGCCAGTGCTGCATTGGCTCGTGAGTTCGACCAATCAATGTACACTTACGTTAAGTTCCTCTTCGTCTTGGGAGAGTACCTACTCTGAAGTAGGAGCTAAAAAAGTCCCTCAAAACTGCATCCTAAGATCTACGATCATTCCCAGTTCTTGCAGTGCAGACACTGCTCTCTCAGAACTATGAAAAAGTTCCTCCAGTGAGAAAACACCTATAATTAGTGGAAGAGTTCATCAAATTTAGATCTCTAAACAAGACAACAGTCATTTTCTTCATTCCAATTCAATAGTCTCCAACTCTTCAGCAAGGTAACAAATCCCTTTACTGTGCTCTGCTTTTATATAGAAAAGTGCTTCAGATTGTATCAGATCACGGTTGCAATGATTATTGACCCATATTTTTATTAGAACAATGTCGGTTTGTTGGGCTGCATTGTAAATAGATATATCACTTGTTCGTCTAAATTTTTTCTCTGCACTTTAGTAGTATTAGGGACCTGAAAGTTTTAATTTGTTTGGTTCTGGTTTACACTTGAACCACTGGAACTTCCTGTAAATGGTCTGAAAGTCCGAAGCATCCAAAAAATGCTTTCACACAAGAAACGAACCGAACCATGGTTCAGTTTGATCCGCAAAATGACTACCTTTATTCGCCGGACCAAATTTCATCTGTTTGGTCGAGACCATGGACCATGGGAGAAAGGACTGATAAAAGCTTTTACTTAAATTTTCTCATGCATATTTGTTGACAAAGATTTTATCAAAATTGTTTTGAATGTTCTACCTCAGATTTGTGAAGTGATCCACTGTTTGGCCTCAAGGGTTGACCATAAAGAAGATTTAACTATCAGGTCTCTTCAACTTTCACTGAGGAGCAAAAAAAAAAATAAAAAAAAAAAAAATCAACCTTTAAACTTGAAACAAATAAGGATTTGATATTTATCATGATAATTATCGATATCCAAAGATATGAAACTTTTTATAGTTAAAACATTTTTGCCCATATCGTCCAGCCCTACTACGGGTGTTGCCAAATCAATCAGGACTGAAATTCCTGAAATTCTAAGTGTTTTGCTGGATATTAATACTCTCAGTAGGTGGCATTGAGGAAGGGACATAAGGTTGAAGATCATTGCGGCCTCCCAAGTTTTTTGTGGAGCAAAAAGAATAAAAAAAAAACAAAAAAAAACAAACCCTTAAGATTGCAGTCACGACCTTTGCAGAAAAGTGACTTGCTAGATTAGAAACCTGAAGCTGAAAATTTACATAATAAAGTGCATGTCTGAATTCAAGGCCTTAGGTGAAAATAACAATTTCTTTCAGTGTGTTGCATTACACTGAAACTAGTTTTTCTTCTCATAGTTGACTCAAACTCTGGCAACTTGTATAACCAAGCTCCATCAACAGCAGGGGTTGCATAAACAAAATTATAGAGTCAATTTTAACTGAGCCAAGAAAGATAAACTTTGTGGTGAAACACACAACAGCTATTGCGTTTGGTGACTGGCTACTTCACACCCTTCATTCATATTTATTTCAGTTTTCTGTTTTCTTAAACAGACTAATGGAACATGGAGACACTGCCGGTTGAAGCTGCTGGAAAGTAAGTGCCTTCAGGATTAAGCATGGAAATACTGTATATATAATATGTGATAAATACAGTAGATATGTCATTTAGGAAAAAAAAAATGTCCAAGTAAGATTTACAACACTCCTCGTGTTTTGATTGTGACACTTTTCTAAACTTTACATTACTTCCACAGTTTGTTATGATAGCAATCTAATGGATTCACGTGCTAAGCCATGAGGTTTGTTTAAATGACATGCGAGAAGTGTCTGATGAAATATGATTGGGGGCCTTTGACAAATAGCTGGCAGTGGTTGGAAATCCATCTGAAGGGACTGTTTCTGTTATACTGTGTGTTTATACTCAGCCTAAAATTTGTTTGTTTCCCCTCAGTCCTGGAGTTCAGGAAGCTTTTTTTATTTTATGAGTTGTAAACTCCAAAGAACCCCTGACAAAAATCTCTTTAAAATCCACTTTTTATTTGTTTCATGTGTTGAAAGACAAACATAAATTAGGCCCATATTAAATACTTTGCGCTGTTCCACATAAAACCAGGCATTCCCTTGCAGCCATTAGATTATGCAAGTCAATAATAAAATAGAGACAATTGTGCCATGCTCGGCATTCTGCATTTTAACTTAGCTGAGCAGGATGAGCGATAAGCTCAGCTTGCTAAATGTTACATAATTGCTTGGACTTAGTAGTGGGCTGATTAGAGATGCTCTTCTGGCAGATATTGTACACATCCACACTCAAAACATTTCTATCTCCTCTTTCCCAGACAGACATGAGCTGTTCTGCAGAAAGAGGAAGAAGCAACATTCCTGCTGTTTATCTAGTCATCTGATCTGGTCAGCGAGTCATGTGTTAGAAGCTTGGCAGCATGCTTCAGGCAACCCTAGTTTAATGCATTCTGCTATGTTTTCACAGTCTAAACCTATTCTTTTACACTGCTCTCCCCAACTTAATGTGAACGATTTGGACACATTTGTATCTCAAAATCAGTACATAGACAACAGTTAAATATTTCGAAAGGTTTCTTAACCCCCCACCCAAATATTGACAGTGTGATAAATGTACAAATTATTTTGCTGACTTCAATAATCCTCGTCAGTGTCTTGTAAGCCCTATTCTCTCTATTATTGGGCTGGCTGGGTAATAATAGCTATCCAGGAGAGGATGGTACAAAATCAACTTTTGCATTCTGGAACGAAGGTCGACAGTTTAATTGGAAGTGCAAATTGCGTTCACATGTATCCCCATAGTGGATTGAGCCATGGGTAAAGCAAACGTGCACACAGCAGTGTGTGTGTGTGTGTGTATATTTAAAAAGGGAGAAGGGAGGATGGACGAATCGAAGACTGTAGGGGTGGGTAATAGCTCTCCTGTTCAGTTCCAGTGTATTTTTAGAGCCACGCGTGAGCTACAATTATTAATTATTATTGAGGTGTTGTTTTTACTCTTCGAAAGAGTCTTGCACACAAACCAGGATGCTTCCGCTGCCTGCTACTGAATCAGCGAAGCTAATGCTGCCAATTTTTTGTTAAGAAAGAGTAAATATTGACTTGGTGACAGCAGCTCCCATCAGTTGGTGGGAGTATAAGCGGCTCTCCCTCTGTCTACTTTGCTTTTCGCTCTCCATCTCTCTCTGCTGCTGGCTGACAGTCTGCAGAGAATACCCCTGTCATTATGTTCACCCTCAAGCCACACTTGCCCTTGTAGCGAAGACATACTCTCTCATCATTGAGCTTGCTCTTTTCTTTAAGCAGCAAACACTGTACATCATCGAATATTAATAGACAACATCTGGACCAGTGAGGGTTGAGGCCAGGTTTTGATCAGTTGTGTTGCATTTGAAGCAGAGACTGATGGAGTGGAGTCGAGTTTGTCAGCGCAGAGAGCGGAGGACGATTACTGACCCTTTTAGCAGTGTCACAGGCCAGTAGAACAGAGCATCCATGATAATAAAGTGTTGAATCTTGAAAGGTTGTCAATGCAAGTGCTCACCCTGAGTGACCTTGTTACCTGATCCTAAAAAGAGTATGTTCCTTCAATTAAGAATTACATTAAACTAAGTGTGAATCAAAAGTGTGGCTTAACTTTTTATCACAAGTCACACAGTCCTTGAAGCTATATTCTTGATAAGTGAATTGCACATTCAATCAGAAATGTTGCAATGATTCAGAACATTTCCCCTCCTTCACTTTTTATATTACAAAACAAGCTGCTTCAGCGCATTTAGATGAACATGAAAATGGTTTGGTTTGGCCATTTTAGACGGGCCCCATTTCATTTCTACTTCTGGATTACATTTAAAACATGTAGTTCCTTTGAAAGTCTGAAAATGCAGCTGAGGGCGTTTCATGGTGCTGGATCCATGCAAACACTTGGAAACCCTAGAAATTGATTTAGGTGTGTTGACTCTGCTACTGCTGACACTGCTGCTAGTACAGACATTGTTGATGCATGACTGCTGCTGCTACAAATAGCATCTGAGTTTTCACCATTTGGAAGGATCTGATGGGGGTGCTTCATCGGAAGCACTAATTATTTCATCTGTTTCTGTAAACGAAAGAACTCTGAACTCAGTGTTGACAACAAACAGGGGAACTTTGTTTCCTTCTTCATATCTTTACTAACATGCAGCCACATTAGGACAAAATGGAAAAACTGCAAGCAAGTGTTACGGTGCTTGTTTCTCCTTGTACTGAATTGGTCCTAGACTTGAGAACCACTAGAACATTTTGAGATTTACATATCCACGTACGTGTAGTGGCAGAAGAGATGTAGCCCCAGCTTCACTAGTGTTGTGCAGAGTTGTCCAGAGTTGTCCACACCTCGCTGGACATTCAGATAATTAAAATTTTTTAAACAGCCGGCTACTTGAAATAGACCCGTGAGGAACCGCGACGCAAAACTCTGCACAAGACTGGTGAATGGCAGACAAGAGAGAGAAAGAAGAGGTTTTTCAAAAAGCATGAGTTTAGCTGGAAATTTATAATGTAATTGAAGAGACTGAGGCTCTGCAGTTTCCGCGGAGTCACCATGAAATTGAGACTCATCAGACCAAGCAACGTTTGTCCAATCTTCTACTGTCCAAATTTTGGTGAACCTGTGTGTATTGTAGCCTCAGTTTTTTTGTTCTTAGCTGGCAGGAGTGGCACCCGGTGTGGTCTTCTGCTGCTGTTGCCCATCTGCTTCAAGGTTTGACATGTTGTGTGTTCAGAGATGGTGTTCTGTATACCTTGGTTGTAACGAGTGGTTATTAGAGATATTGTTGCCTTTCTGTCATCTCAAACCAGTCTGCCTATTCTTCCGACATCAACAAGGCATTTTCGTCCACACAACTGCAGCTCATTGGATATTTTCACTTTTTCAGACCACTCTCCCTGTAATCCCTAGAGATGGTTGTGCGTGAAAATCCCAATAGATCAGCAGTTTCTGAAATACTGGCACCAACAACCATGCTACGTTCAAAGTCACAGAGGCTACGTTCAGACTGCAGGCCTTAATGCTCAATTCTGATTTTTTTCACATATCTGATTTTTTTGGTTGACAGTTTACATTATTGTTTAAACATGGCCCATATCAGACTTCATTCTGAACTGTCCACGGCCTGAAAGTGACCAGCATGCACAGAGGAATAACAACGTCACACACAGCACGCTGTCGTGGCGAAGTAAACAGAGCCACAGAGGTTAGACCCAGTTAGCTCATATCTGCTACCCCTCCCAATTTTTACATTTCTCCCAAATTAGGACAAGTGCTCACAACTTTGTCCTTTTCATTTTGGTCTTGCGCTATGTAATGCATTTGCCCCACAACTCACTACCTCTCCCCCCCCCCTGTGTCCACACGGACAAGTAGCATGCAGGTAACTGAAGAGAGCTTGCAGTTCGGTAGATTTCAGGTAGAGGAGGAAAAGAGCCATGTGTTTAATAATGGCTTTTTGTGGAGCTTTTTCGTTCACCGCAGCTCTGTCTACAGCAGGACAGTGACAACAGCTGCTCTAGAGTGACGTCAAAGTTGCATCAATTCCAACCTGAGAGTCCATACTCAAAAAATTGAAATTCAATTTTAAAAGATCTGATCTTTATCCGAACTGGAAAAGATCAGATTCCATGTGACTTGGCCTGTTCACACTGTTATAAAAACAAGTGATCTGAGTCACATATGAGCAAAAAAATATGGGCCTGCGGTCTGAACATAGGCTTAAATCCCCTTTCTTCCTCATTCTGATGTTCAGTTTGAACTTCAGCAAGTTGTCTTGACCATGCCTAAAATACACTGAGTTGCTGCCATGTGATTGGCTAATTAGTCATTTGTGTTAACGAGCAATTGAACAGGTGTATCTAGTAAAGTGGCCGGTGAGTGTATTATACAGAACAATTACCTCTCAGCCCCACTACAGTTTCTAGCTTGGCATGAGAGCACACAACAGCAGCAGCAGCACGCACGCTGCTTATCAATGAGTGATGTCTGGTGTGTGGATCGGTGAACGCTACACATCAGTCTTGTATGAAAGATACGGTGAAACATTAGGCTTCTTGCTTTCATCATTCAGCACAAATCCAATAAAATGTCAGTCGTTTCGAGCTTTCAATGTAACTTGTTTGCAATGTTGAACACTTTGGAGGGAAAAGCATCTGTATTCTCTAATGAGACCTCAATGGCAGAGTAGCAAGAAGGCAAAATAAGAGTCAGATATCTGTGCTAAATATTACATGGCAGGAAAATCCTCATCATTCGTCACCTTCTTATTGGTTGTTGTTTTTTTGGTCCCCCCCCCCCTGTTTTCCAGAAGCATATTAGATTACACACTGAGACATCCAGATTACACAACTTGTCAGGCAGGTCTACAGACAGGATAAGGTCATATGTTTCGCGCCCATTATGCATACACTTTAATCAATTGATTTATTGCAGACCAGGTTATTAATATGCAATCGTGAACGGGTGCTCTGGAAACAGGAAACTCATATTGAAGAGCTACCAGATGGTATTAGCCAGCAGTGCTGTTTGACAAAAACCGGGACAGAATAAAAATAACAAAAAGGAAATGTCTATTGCTGACTGACCACTGGCGGTGAACAACCCCAAAACTCACCAGTTCAGCATCAACATTCAGCGGGAGAAGCTCATGTCTTGGCCTGCAGAGACAAAAAAGGACATACAGTAAGAAGAGGAGAGAATTTCATAAATCACAGAGGCCTTAATCTGGACTTATTTGGCTGAGGTCTAAAACCCTGCTATACAGTAGGAAGGGCAGGAACAGAGACGAATTACACAGAGACACGAGCACATACCACATCCAACTACTCCCTGCCAAGGAAAACACAGAGCAAGTCACAAAATCGACAAACAACTTTGCAACAGCCTTAGCTTGTCAGACTTCAACAATAAGGGCAGACATGTCGACATACTACCACAACAACAGGGCCGTCAGTTGGTGTGCCAGGCTGCTTGTCTATTGGCCTATCAATCCATCTGGCTGTCTGTTGGCACTTCTTCATTCATAGATCTCTCTGAGTCCTTAAAACATCCATGAGGATGACTGACAGCTTTGTCAAGACTGGTGTGTGAGAAGAAATTGTGCTGTGATCAAAACCTGATAGCCCCACCAAAACAAAGGGATGGAACTGGAGACAGCAGAGCTAATCAAGACCAGATCATCCTAATTATGAAAAGAAGAAGCGCAAAATAAATGAGGAAACGAGGGAAAAAGAAAAACAAGCAATCAAGATGTACAGTAAACTGGCAGGCAGAGGGATAAATTCCCACTTAAGTCCCACTGGAATAAACCTCTAAACTTCGAGCAATTCAATACGATACTGGCAAGTACACCATTGTGAAAACATACAAACAGAAAAAAAAAAAAGAGATTTTCTCACTTCATTGCAGTTCGGACCAACCCCACAGCTACATTCAAGCTCACCACAGAAATATAAGCATCCAAAAGACAACACTGGGCAATGTGCGTCTAACACAGTTCATAGCTCAATCACCCTAATACTGTGACTGCTACACAGGTCACACATTTCTAAACTCTGAAACTGTAACAAATGCAAGGCATGGCATGTGTGTCCTAGGACTTTGTTGTACTTCCCTCCTTCTCCATTATGTGCTGTCTTTTCATCCAAGAGTCGAAATCTAGCTTTGCTGTTATGCAAAGATGTTGTTATTCAGTCTAGCTAAATGCAAAGATTCAAATTTATCTCATTCTGAAAAGTAAATCAGATCACACCCCCACTGTCTGCATTGCACACGCAATAAATTACAAGCCGGACACACTAGCGTGATGTCACTCAGTTTAGAGAAAAATATCAACCAGGCCCACTGTGTATTTGGTTACACCTGTCAGAGGGGGAGTGGCCAAATAATTATTTTTAAATGTTTAACATTCCAAATAAGACTGGCAAACTCTCAAAAGTGGGACAGTCAGCACAAAAAAAAAAATTTGTTATCACAACGTAATACATAATATGTATTAATAACATAAAGTATAGTCAGTTATGTTCATAAAATCATTAAAAACTAATAATAGCAGGTGGTAATGGGGTGATAATCATGATCACTACAGTATTTGCAAAAAAATAATAGGGATTACCATTAAATCCCTAATCATGCAGCCATCCTCTTACCAAATAAACATACGGCAGGATAGCACTGTATTGTATCAAAGGCACTACTGACTGCACCAAAGATACAGATGCTTACAATGTCACTGGGTTCAAAAAATAAAATAATAAAACACCTGCACACCCTCAGTTAGCCTTTAAGCTTCTTAGTCCCCTTCTATTCATCAAAATGCTTCACAGTCCGGGTTTAAGCCACAGGTAAGGGATTGTTATTGTGTGAGCGAGGGTAATGTTTGCCTCTGTAATCACTAGTGCAATGTTTTACGAGGCAATGTCAATAAGCCAGAGCAGAATTTGTCTTTCTTTACATAATACTTGTGATCTTTCATAGGCTGCAGAGGACACACTTTGGGAGGAGAGAATCCTCACGCAATTTTACAATAACAGACAATAACACACTCTGCGGTCCCTGACCAAAAGGCTGTTGAAATTATATATAGTGGCAAAACAACATTTAGAATACTGTAATACACAAGTGCTGCATTTTACAAGAGGAAAATAGGTTCCTCTGCAAATATGGCTCATTTGGTGTAGGTGGACAGAGAAAGTTGGTGTGAACAGGTGGAACCGCTGATGCAACAAGTTTGTCAAGACACCGTCCACATGTATTCATCAATTAATTTTGAAGCCTGCCAAGCCAAGCGAAAAAATAATACCTACATTATGGGTTATTTGCACTGCAAATAAGCCTACGGAGTTAACCACAGGTTATTCCTGAACAAACAACACGCTCTGCCTTAAGGGTGTGTGTGATAAAACAGGTTTTGAAAATAGGAACCTGCTGTCTGACTCTGTCAATTATATGTCATTTGTACCAGCAAAGATATCCATCTTCCCCTCAATAAAAAAAAAAAAAGGATGATAAGTTGTCAGACTTGCTGACATTGAGTTAACCTAGAATCAGTGACAAGGTATCAACACTGAAATCTGATATACAACATCTTTTTGCTGCAAGTGGACTGAATACACTGAAAACAGACCAAACATACATCAATTTAGTAGTCACCAAAATCTGATACTATTTTATTATCATTATCTAATTGCTCATTTAAACATTGATATGACATTGAAGATAAATAACACAAAATGGACACAAAATCACAGTCTTTGAAACAGAAACTAGTGCTTTCTGGTTGTCCTGTGAATCAATGTCACTTAGCTTTCTGGGATGTATGAATGGCAGCTGCAGCTGCCAGATTTACTTAGCTGCCTACCCGACTAGCAGCAGCAGCCTTTGGATGCACCAGTTCAACAGATTAAATTAACAATGCATTAAGATTATTTGGTAGGTCAGAAAGATGTGAATACTACTGTGCAGAAATCCACAATGTACACACATCTGTGTAAATATAACACATAGAAAGCCAGGCTATGTCGGTTTGTCCGTTGACTTTTATGGCCACTGTGCAGTGTGCACTGTGCCTGTCATCGGCCGGCTGGCTTCTTATCTGTCCCGCTACAGCTAGCTCCGCTGGCTAGCCTCCCAGCCGTTGGACACATCAATAACACCTGCATTTCATCATCGTTTTTAAACCGCGGCGGCTCGAATTTACCTGGAGGAGAAGCCACTGCGCCGAGCAACGCGAGAGCAAATTTGATATCACATTGCTAAAAGGTCCATTTCAATGAGCCTGGCTAGCTAGCTAGCAAAGCCGTCTGTCTCCAGCTGTGTGTGTGTGTGTGTGTGTGTGTGACAGAGAGACAGAGTGAAGCAGTGGGAGGATGTGTGCTGTCTGAATGAAAAGCAGGGTTTGGAGTGAGCCACTGAACGCTAGCGTGATGGAGTTCAAATGAAAGGTCCTGTCTCGACAGCATCCGTCTAACAGCTAAACTAACACATTCAGTTCCACACAGCCTAACATTAACGTTGCGTTAAACGGAGCACTCGGCACAGTAACTCTAATTTTCCGTTAGCAGCTATGAGAGACCTTTCAGATAGCTTTATGCTTGTTTCTTACGTGATTTCGGTGTTGGAGACGGGAACGGGTTTAGTCCAACGGCGGAAAGAAATGATGCTTTGCGGAGTCCTGCTCGGGATTTTCTCTCTGTGTGGCTGCCTGTCTGCGTCTCTGCCTGTGTGTCTTCCAGGTGCTGCTGCTCTATCCCGTCTCCCTCCGACTGTCTGCGCTGTCTCACTGCTGCTGGAGTGTCCCGGTGCTCTTGTACCACTCGCCCTCCAGTGGAGAATGAACGGCCCTGATGCGCTTTGATTAGGAACCCCTCTTCAGCTGTGTAGCGCGCGCCCACCCCACCAAACGTGCCTGCGCGTGAGTGTGTTCTCACGCGCTCGTGTTTGTGTGTTTGGGAGTGTGCGCAAATGAGTGAATGAGTGTGCCTTGGGTTGACAAGAGTGAGTCATCCAGCAGAATCAGATCCAGCTCCTCCCTGCTTTTCTAACAGCTGACTACTGTAGCTGCCATGCGTCGATAAAGACAAACACTGCGCCCCTCCTCCTCCCTTTGTTAAGTCACTGTAAAGCTGCTCTATTTTTCCTATAGAGGCTGTTGTGTCTGACTCTGAGGCTCTCAGCAGTGAGTTCGTTGCACTGTATTTTATTTATATCTATGGCATCACTCCATGTAGTATTAGTCCTATTGATGTAGCAGAGTTTAAAAAAATGAAAATGACACGAATCTTTATGACACTGATTCATAACCAGAATTACGTTAAGCTGAATCATCTCTTTACAGAAGGATAAAGTTCAGTAGAGGATTTTCTTACTTTTTTTTACCCATATTCTGTTACCTATTTTACCCATTTTTTATTCCCACATAACTTTTGCATTGATAGGTTTTGTGGAAAGGATGGATACATTAAATATAACTGCCAGTGTAAAATGGGATAGTGGTCCTTGGCGTCTATTGTAGTTATGTCATATGCATCTTCATGTGTGGCAAAGGGTAAAGGATTCGTCTTTAAAGGGCTAGTCCAACAATGTAGTATCGCTCGCCTATAAAGTCAGGGGACTTATGATGGACAGATTTAACACGAATGGTCAAAGCAGGGCACTCTTTTGAGGACGACAATGTACATATTTTAGACAGGGAGGACAGATGGTTTTAAAGAGGATTCAAGGAGGCTATTTACACCCAAGTGGAGAGGCCATCTCTTAACAGGGGTGTCACCACTTATCCCCTCTTAACAATGCTGTCCTTTCATCCTTTCCCAGGAAACTAAACAAACACTCACATTTGGCCTGATGTGAGAATGCCAGCAACGGTCGTTTCAGACTTGGCCACAAGAGCCAGGAGCACTGATGAACCATGTGGTATCGATCATCTTGACAACAACCCCAGAGAGGTTAAATAGCTGGGATTCCTGGCCAGTCAGTCAGAACTAAAAGAAGCGTCTTGGATGAGGGGTAAAACATCTTCAAAATTTTCAACCAAGTCCATGACCTGGATGACTGAGAACCATCACAGACTCTGGGCAAAATAGATGGAGCAGAGGCTGAAATATCCTGACTTTTAGTCCCTAGTATGGATCAAGCTCCAAATACACTAGCTAGTCAGTAGTGTGTTTCATTACACTCTCTGCCAGATCAAAGCAATGACATCATCGGACTTCAGAAAGTCCCTCCAGAGCCACAGAAGAAACTATACAACTGTTATCACAGGCTATGTTGTGCCACCATCTCAGGTAAAGTGATGTTAATTTGTAAAATTGGTGGTAAAGTCAACCACTGCTTTGTCTCCCACTTCCTGTACAACAAAGTACAAAAGTAGACTAAACCCACTGTAACATTAGAAAGAAAATCCCTCTGAAACAGTGCATGCTCTTGCATTGCATTTCTGTGCTTATTAAGACTTAATTTGTTGAAAAAAAGACGTGGTGAAAGAATGGTGAGGAAAGTCCTCCAAAACAAAGGCACTGTGCTTTTCCTCATCTGCGAAAAGAGGACATTTTAGGTTTTAGGACATAGTCTTATGGATAATGTTAAAACTGCAACCAAAATTGTTATTCAGAATAGATTAGTAAGGTTTAATGTTAGTATTACTTTAGGGTTGTGTCTTGGCTTTAGGATTAAGACTGGATTAGGTTTACATTGGGTTTAGATTAGGATATTTAAATCCAAGGACTGAAAGCAGTCAGTGAAGATCCTTTCAAGTAGTACTACAGCATGTCTATTAACATCTCCATATGTTTATATGTGCGTGTGTGTCTGCTTAGTGTACCTTCAAAGCAGCACCCTGTGGTCCTCTCCTCTTCTGCTGTCCTGATGTGCCTCATTAAGGCCCAGTTACAGGACACCTCCTCCTCCTGAAACCCGCAGCAGATGGACAGACGCAGGCCGATAAGAGTTTGGAAGGGCGTTGCTGTTTATATAACCCAGAGACTCTTATTAAAAAGCCGCCCTCCTTCCGTCCTGAACTCGGGGTTAATTAACTCACTTTCTACTTGCCGGTATGCATGGAGGCCTCTGAATGGTCACACTGGTTGTTATGGACGACCACGCTTTTCTTATCTCCTGTTGCCTGTTGGGATTCTGCTGAGGAGCTGGGACTGAGAAGGACACAGTGTTTATGTAGTCTAGAAAACACGCGCACCGGCAGCACACAGCTGAGAAATCACACTCTAAAGCACGTGGAATCAAGCTGTGAGGACACACGTACACATGGCCACACAGGCATAGTAAGGCTTTTACACAGCACATGCCACCAACACCCACACAACAACGAGTAGCACGCTTTGTTTGAAAATGTGTTGAAAATTAAAAGTGCGTTATCACTGATCATGCTCAAATCAAAATGGTAGCAGCAGACATATGGCAGCACACACCGTAATATGCCCTTCAGTGTGAATGAAATGCAATGCATGAAACAGAAGCTTGAGTGGATTTTTAAGTCAATATAAAGTGATTGATTTGACTTTTTAGGCACATGATGTATAATACAAACATGCCCACAAACATGTACATGCATGTGCACATACTGTATATTTTCACTTATTTCGTTATGACACAAGTGATCACAAGTGATGAATGTTAGTGCAAATGTGCATGATTCATAAATGCGGTCCTTTGAAATGAATACTAATAATTCTGTATGATTTCAGTGTTTCTCAGTCATCAAGTGGTGACTGGTGATTCTATCATGGGAGTGCTCAAATGAATGTTCTTCCTAGGATTATCAAGATTATTAAGATATTGTTACCTAGGAGATGATAGGAATTAGGTCACCGAGGCTTTCACCCGCTTCCCCCCTGCCCCTGACTGTGACATACATACCATACATATACACTCACCTACATACATACAGTACATACAGTCACCCCACAGATGCTGCCAAACACACCTTCTATAGCTGGGGTTAGATCATTGTTGGCCTGCTTTTTTTGGAATGCAGCACATCTTCAGACTTCTCTTTTGTACTCTTATTCTCTGTCTCCACCAGTATTATTCAGTATTTGTCTATGTTACAAAGACTGTGGTATAACATTGGTAAAATCACAGCACAACAAAACAAGGACATGTGACACATTTTAAAGTAAATAACATGCAAACACAACCTGTAATGAAGGACTGGGGGCTAAAAAATGATAAGACAATAGACCTAATGAGGAACTGTTCAATACAAGGGAAATACAAGGTGATAGGGAAATAAAGACCATAAAGTGGTGTATGAATGACAGTCATTAAAAAACATATCACATACACAAACATAAAAGTTTGAGATTAATTAATTTTAGGTTGACCAATGATAAATCAAAAGACACACAACTCCACTCCAGCAATGTACAATAATAGCCACATTTATTTTAATTACAGGCAAATTCCCTTTACACTATTTTTTTTTTTTATCAACTTCATGTTTTATCCTTTTTGTCATACATACATTTACATTTCCAGAGTGCATACACGTAAGTTGATGGGGGTGGGTGTGTATGTGGGGGGGGGACTGTTAAATAAAGTGGTTCAAGACAAAAAAGAAGAATGTCTCGAATTTCTTATGTGACACATGTCAAATACTGCTCATCACAAGCATGACTCAGTAGTGGTACTGTACTTAAAAGTGCACACAGTCTATTCAATATCAGACAGCTTCATATAATATAATGGCAATTCAAACAATGATGCATTTCACACATTCAACATCAAACAAGGCAAACATATTTAAAGGCACAGGACTCTCACATCAATATCATCTTTTTAAAAAGTAGTTTGTACTTACATGTCAGGTAATCCTTCACTTTCAACTCCCCCCACCCCTGGCCAAACTATTTGATATCAAATGACCTGTGAGTTAAATGGCACTGGACAGTTAGGAAGTTAAAAACACTTCCTTATGGTTACTGAATGGGAACCATTTGTTAGTTAAAGAGGAACTAGTTCAGTTATTCATTAGATCATGTTAACTCTGGTGTTTAACAGATAGAAACTGAGTCTGTTTAATTAAACATAACTGAATTATTTTCACACGTCAAATTACAGCTACCAGTTCTGGGTGAATATTGAGAATAACGCCACATATTTGGGGCGTCATATCTCCTGTTGACCTGGGCATCCACTTTGTGTACTTGGGAACTGCATGCACATTCCCCACAATGAACCAGTTAAGAGGTCACTTCTATAAAACTACAGCAGGATCCTCTTCTTCTGTTTGAATATCCTGGGTTGACTGTTTTAGTCAGAGGGGACAAAGGTAAAAGAATACAATGTGCAATCTGTTAACTTGAGCCAGAAACTTTTGGGTATAAGAAAAGGGCGTGTTGTTTGTTGTTTTAGTCCCGTTCAGCTTACGCCACAGTGGTGTATCAAGCCACACTGAATCCAAACTGTTTTGCAGGTTTGGTTTAAATGTTTCAGAGAAAATAGTTTTACATTTACATTACAAACATCTCTGCTACAGAGCTACTGTCACATTAACAGTTGTTCAAATACATGCAGATACTGTACAACACCCTTTTCCTTCACTTCCTCTCTTGGCAGAATTGCCCACAAACAATGCAAACCTGTTAAAAACTAGCCAAACACAGAATGACAGAGCACTGCATAATATCACCACGCCAAATTTCATTTAAACCAAATAATGGTTAAAAAAGGATTTTAAAAAAACAAAGTAGCAGCAACACATACGCTTAGTTCTGTGAGAACAAAATTGAGAACCAGCAAGCCACCAGTGCCTCTGGGTTAAAGTAAAAGAGTTACATAGTTACGTTGTGAGCCTTCAGTGCAAATATGTAAGGGTGAATCTAAATCTTATAAAGATGGAAGCTCTAAAGGCGGAATATGCAGTGGTTTCTTTGCAGTACAAGTTGACTCCTCTTAAATGGCAATGTCCACTGTAAGTGAATTCAAAACCTTGGCACCGCACACCTCACTGACCACCACTACTATCAATATTATGATAATAAAAAATAATAAAAAGA